AGAGAAACTTGAGTTCCATTATGCCGTGGCAGAATTACCTTAAATGCTTTCTAAATTTTTAAAGACTGATTTGATGTTTCATCGACTAATTGGCATATTAAAAAATAAGAAAATGCCATTGACTTCAGTAATAACATTTTTTACTTTAAGCAAACATTACTCAATTTAAAAAAAAACTACAGAGGAGTACCTAGTTGTTAATTATAACTAATTAAGTATTATTATTATGCAATTTCCATTTAATTTTTTGAGGCATTAAATGGCATTGAAATTTAGATCTTACAAAATGGCTAGCAGTAGAGGTGGGAGATAATATACTCTGATTGAATCTTTGCCAACTTATTTCTGTGTTAATTCAAATTAGTTTGGATTCGAGCTTGATTTAGTTTCAAAGAATAAAATAAGAAGGCACTCATTTTTCTTTACAGCAGTGGTCACATGCTATTGATCACAACGGGCATTTTTCTTCTTAATTAAAAACCATTTTGATTGAATTGGTACGGTCGTCTGAAATCACCTTGTCATTAAGGAAAATCATGAACTTTGTACATTTCTAGAATTAAGAACTTTTTTTTTTAACATTAAACATATCAGCTACCCAGCATACCCCTCCTTCTTAATTAACATTCTGTTCATGGAGTAATTCATTATTTAAAATGACTTTGCAATCATTAGTAGCAGACTTGTGCATTTCTTGTAAGGCAGGTCAATTTAATAATTTCTTACTACAAATGAAAAATTCCCAGGTTAAGCACCAAAATATTCAAAGCATTAATGACTGTTGCATATGACCAGTCACTTATAATACTGTAATATATTCCCTAGGCTTTAGAAAGCTACTTCTAGGCAGTGATTTCAGTTGGTCCAAGTTAAAAGTTATTTTATCTCTAATACTTTTTGATCATGAGAGGTCTCTATAGGGACTAACATTGCTGCCGACAAAACCTAAATAGCCTATAAAACCTTGGGTAATTGCTTACCTAGTCAGGCAATTGGTCAACGCAGGAATGGCAAAAGGTGTTAAGGTGACATGGTCTAAGGCAGCTGGAGAAGGTGGGACCAGCACAGACCTTTGCTGAATAGGTGCACTGATTACAGCAGGGATCCATTGCGTTAGAGCAGACAGAGTTAGCAAATAAAATAGTTCAGTCGGTATATCCAGAGAAAGAATTTCAGTGACTAGAAATCAGCTCTGCTTCCTACACACATCATGGCTGGAGTTTGGTCAAGAAGAATTGAGGGCTCAGAAAAGAGAAAACTACACCAATCATCTAATTTCAGATGGTTTAGGTTAAGCCCCCCACACATCCTACCTCCCAAGATAATTTTATTACAGTGTGAATAGCGACAAATAAAAGGATAGTCATTTAAAGTGGAGCCAGTGTTGGTCTCACGACCTCCTGCTTAGGTGGAGAGGTCTGGGAAAGGGTTTGAAGTAGCAATAACGTAGGAGAGGGATTTGGATTTTGTTCAAAGGGTTACGTGAGCCTGCAGTTTTCATGGGTGTCTTGGATCTGTCGTGCCCCTGGTTGTCTCCATTGTAGTCACTGTGATTTGTAAACAAAATATCCTTGGTTCAGATGATCTGTTCTGTCTGATGCCTTCATTCCATGGAAGGAAAACCAAGATGGATAGGTGGAATTGAGTCAGCCACCCGGGACAAGGCTCAAATCTTTCTCTGCCTTGGACTTGCTGAGCGAACTTGCAGAAACCACCTAAGGTCTTTGGAGTTCAGTTTTTCAGTAAAATTGATGAATTAAGCTAAATTAGTACTAAAGCCCCCTTCTAGCTCCAAGAGTCAATAGGCGTAGCAATTTCCTGTGTTCACTATTCTTGGGGAGATGACTATCTAAGTGGCCTAAAGCTGGTAAGTGCTTTGTGACTTAGTCATGATTTATTTCCAGAGCAAATGTATCCCAGGGGGGCTGAAATAGAGAAAGGTTGACCCAAGCCCATTGATTCAATGCCCAAATGAAGCATCTTAGACATGTCCCTGAGACTGGAAGAATTTATTGATATGGGTAAAGATCCACTGTCTTTCAAAGCAGCAGGTGCTGAAGAGGCTTGAGCACTCTGACAAATGGCCTCACTTCCACCCCTGGGCTTCCAATTATGTCACTTAGGAGTCTCCAGGGAGATACCCCAGCACACCGTGCCCCTCCCTACTTCCAAATCTGAGGAGTACCATTAGTGCTAATGTCCTAATGTCAATTGATTGACAGTTAAGTATTTATCAGAGGGGACCTTAGGAGACTTAACTCCTCACCTCCCAGTAATTGTCAACAGCCCTCCAAAAATAAGCCAAATAAAGATAATATCTGTAAAATGCTCTTGAGAACAGGTTCCCCAGTCTCTTTCCAGCTGTACTGCCGACCTGAAGGCTTAACTGCCTTCTGGACAGTCAAGACATTCTGGAGCTTCTAATGAGATTTAGTGCAGACCTACTCTGTGCCTGGGTGTTGCACTGGTGGGTTGACAGGTTTCAACTACAGGGTCCAACCTCGGGTTCAGAGATTGTGACAGCAGGTGTCTGCTGGGTCTTGGAGCTGAGAGGTTTGGGGTGTCTTCTCAGCCTTGATCCTCACACATAAGGTCTGTCTCGTGTTGCAGGGAGACAGCCATGGAAAAGGAAAGAGAAGTGCCAGTAATGGCTTTTCCGTCTTGTTATTGAGGGTCATGGACTCGTGTATGCGTAGTATCAACTCACATTGAAAAGTAGGCTCCATGAGGAAGGACAGGGACCCTGTCAGTTTCACTCACTAACCTGCTTTGGCACCTAACACGGTGTTAACTCATGGTAAGTACTTACCAACGTGGCGTGAATAACCAGTGATGAGGCCACATAGTGTGGTGGTTAATGCCACAGGTTCTGGAACCAGACCATCTGGTTCCAAATTCCTGCTCCACTGCTCACTAATTGGGAATGTGAGCAAGTGAGTAAACATTTCCTTGTTTCAGTTTCCTCATTTTAAACTAGGAATAATAATAATAAATATCTCGAAGTTAATTGCAGGTTAAATGGATATTTATAACCAGTGTCTGACATGCACTCTAAGTATTTATTGAACAACTGGATTAATCAGTTTACATCCCACTTCCTTTTCCATCATTAGTTAGGTTTTGTTTCTGGAACTAAAACTAGTTTGTGAGAACACGTGCTAACCAAGCATGGGCCTGGACCCAAACACACTTCTGCCTTAAGACCTCTGGCTGTTCAGCTTTCTATTTATACAATGCTCTGAAGCATCTCTTTCCATGCATTTTGTTAAAATACTAATTGGTTTTGGATTGAATGCATAATGTACTCAGTGGATGACTGTCTTACAAGTCTTCTTTTGCTCACTCCTGGGGAAGGAATTACAAACTCTCCATCTCCCAGGTTCTTTTTTATGCATGGTCCATCAGTGTCCTGTGTACATCCCCAGTCCTGGTTCCTCCAACCTCCACTTGCTGTTGTACCTAATCACCACCTCTCCTCAGCCTCCCCAGGAAACCCTTCTACTGCCCGCCAATACCTGTTCTGTCTTCTTTGCCTCCCTCTTCCACATGGCTTGCAAGCTTTGACATTTACAATAGCAATCTTGCTTTGCCCGTCTTTGATTTTAAGTCAGGTCATGTCCTTTTGGTAAAGTGTAAAAGAATTAGTTGCAAACAAACCATTATTATTATTTTCCTTTGCAACTTTTTGTTTTTCCCATTCACCCTCATAAACACCCCAAGCTGCTCCGCTGTTCATTAGAAACACTTCTTTCCCTTGTGTTACAATGTCTCAATGACAGTATTTTTTTTTTTATTTTGCTGTTGTTTTGGTTTATGTTCAAAGTTCTGCTGGTCAGAGTGGTGATTTATTGCCATCTCTATCTGATTAGCTCACGTTTTTTTATAGAGAAGGGGGAAGCAAAGTCCATGGGGTGATTTACCACCCAGTCCTCTCATACCAGTCTCCATCTTTGAAACATACTGGATCTTCTTAACTGGATGGAAATGACATACACGAAATGTTTAGACAATAGTACAAGGCAGTCCATAAGATAAAGATAAAACCATCTGAACTTTAACCGTTTGCTCCCAAACTAAATTGCTCCCAAACCCGCTTAGCGTAGACTCAGTCTGTATAAGTGTCGTTACACACTTTGCTGCCCTTTTACTGGGTCCTTTTTGAGTCTTGCTATCCTTGCTCCTGTTATGTTACCGTCTCCACAAGAGTCAGGATCTCATCTTCTCCTTCATCTGTGTGTCTTCATGGTGCCCAGAATGGGGCTGCATAGAGAGGATGCTTGATGAACGTCACTGGTGGGCAGATGGTGACTGGCTCCTGCAGTGATTCTGCTCTGGGCTTTCTCCAGGTGCAGGTGCACCCCAGGAAGAGCTGGAAGGCTCCTAGTTTGGCTTTCCCCGTGGCTCCTCTGACACTCCTTGCACCCCTGGGTAACCTCACTGATGAAACTGACTTCCAGGGGCTAATTCTGCAATCACAGATCCTGATTTTTCTTCTTATTCTAAGAGCCGTTTTTCTTCAGTGTCTTTGAGAGCTCCACCCCTCAGGGGAGTAATAGCAGTAGATTGGTTATGCTAAACACCCCACCTCAGGGGTTTGATTTTAATTTTTTTCACAGCAACCCAGTCATTTATACAGCTAGGATAGACTTATCTTAAAAATTCACAAAGCCACTTAATTTTTTTTTAATTCATAACTCTGGATAACTTGTATCTCTATTTCCAGTCCTCTCTTGGATTCCCAGGGAATACTCTGTCAAGCAGGAAACTCAAATGCATGCCCTTTATCACTGTCTGTTTTTGCCTTCCCTCACCCCAAATGCTGATAATGTGGAGTTAAGGAATGCAGAGTGGAAGCAAGTTGTTGTTTTGTTTGCGTATACTGTGTTTAACCAGAAAGTGGATATGAGCAAGGCAGGCACACAAAAACAGGGACCATTCGAAGGATGGGCAGAGAATGTAACTGGGGCTTTTTTTTTTTTCTCTTCTCCCCATCCATGCAGTCTCTAGACCTGTGGAAAAGACATTATGTTCGGGACCCGCCCCTTCAGCCTCTCAGCTCTGCAATACCCCCTGTTCTACAGACTGTGTAGTATCCTCCTGGGCAGCTTGGGGCCTGTGCGTCTATGAAAACTGCCACGATCCTCAAGGGAGAAAAGGTGAGTGCCTTGTTTGTGTGCATGTCTTTTCCCTTCAGTGCACTCACATTTACTCTCGTAGCTAATAGCCTCTGGAGTCTGCTAAGGACAATATTTGTTTGTAACATTTGGATAGCCAGCCCGAGTCTGCCAGCATCCAGTTATTAAGGAGGCCATTGGGGACATTTCTGTGGAACTCAGAATCCTGCCTTGATTGACCTTGCAATTAAGCTCAGAGCTGGTGAAGTGACTGTCACTCAAAAATGATATAACTTAACCCTGCAGGACGTTTGGTCCTGACCCAAACGCCCACAAGACCTTTGGTCCACACTGAAAGGTTTCCGACATTTGGTCCTGTCCAAAACACACATGAGCAGAGTTGGCCTGTGCCCAATGGTCTGGGACAAGATTAAATTAAATTTCAAGGACCTTTCGCCAGGTGCCAGATGTCTTATGGACGTTTTGGACAGGACCAAATATCTGCTAACCATAGCTTACTGTTTTACAGATGTAAAGGTTTCCCTGAAGAAATTAGACATGAATTCTCAAATCACATCAAGAAACAACTATTTTGTTTTCAGATTTTCAAATGCGGAATCAAATGTTGAATTTGATGGAATAGTTCAAATTTTTACGAGGGGCATGTTGTTCACTTTTTGATGTGATCCTCAGGCTAAAAGTGAAATCTTCAAACTTCATGTGCTTGTTTAAATTTGTGGGTCTCTGCAGTCTCGTCTTCTGTAGTTTACTCTTCTAGGCATCTCTGTATCTTCCAATACTCATTTTTGGTGACATCTTGACTTCTCTTTTATTGACTCTTCAGTTTATGTTGTTGTTATGTTCCCTTAAATGGCAGTGCTAAAAAAGAAATACTTTTCTAAGAGGAATGAGGTCCAAGGAAATTCCACAACTTAGGCTGTGTCTGCTAAGCACTAATCCCAGACATCCCGTGCAGAGAAAGAGTACGTTGCCCATTGCTACGCTTGGATGCTACAGAGCTATGCTCTCGGCGTCATTCTGCGTCAGAGATCTCCCACCAACACACGCTCATGCCCAGGTTCACACACCCGTGTCCTGGGCTTTTCTCTTTATTCTGCCTCTTTTACTGTAAGATAGGAGAAGCAGATGCATGAGTCTAAGGCAGGAAGAAACTAACTTTGATTCTCTTATTGATCAATAGGAATATGGATCTTAATGGAATGTGGGGGCTCTCGGAAAGCTCGTGTTCCTCCTTTGTTAGAAAGTCCTCCAAACCTCTTCAGCTATGGATACAAATAATTTTCCATGAGTACTAACACCCATGATTTGTTGTCTTGTGGTCCCCAGGTGTATAATGGGACCATGTAAGGCTCCTGTAGCTGCATATGAGCCCCCCCACCGGGTGACTTATGTGTTATTAGAACCAACCTTCTTGCATTTGACGTGAGCCTCTCAGTGTTATAGTTGCTGTCTAGAGCATCATTTGAGGCTGGACTTAAGCCCCTCCAGCCACTCTGACCATGGCTGTCTATGCTGGTACAGCTTTGCTGCATTGAATGCTGCCTTTCTTTGCTTTCAAAGCTGTAGAAACCACAGCAGGCCACATGGGCCCCATGTTAATTGGGCCACATTTAGCTGTTAAGTGACAGAAACTCAGTTCAGACTGGCATAAGCCAAAAGAAGGGAATTTATTAGCTCATCTAGCTAAAAACAGAATGGAAGGTAGGGCTGTATCCGAAAGTATCAAGAGGTCACCAGATCTCAGGCTCTCTGGTTCTTTCTCTTTCTCTTTACCATCTTCTGTTTCTCTACCTGTTGGTTCTACTTTTCCTGTGTTAGGTTGAGTTTAAGACAAGTCTTCTCTGTGGAGTAGAGACCAGTATTAATTTTCTGTCTTTTTTTTTTTTCAACTGTTAAACTTTTATTGCATATCCTTCTTGTTAGTAGATAGAGTTTGAGTTAATATATGCCTTTTAGTGATTGTTTTCTTTGGTGGATGGGTAACAAGGCAACAACAAAATTCTGTAACTCCTTGGGGTACTCTGATTTGAAAGATCTATTTCTTGGACTTTGTTAACAAAAATTCTAGTATCAGATGTTCTAAACCACTCCAGTGATATAATTGTTTTCTTATGAGGCAATATTACATGCAAACATTATTTTATCCAGCTGACATTTGATTTAAAACAAAACAAAACAAAAAATGAAGTACCCCTCTCTCAGCCTCATAATCTAAGCTCAAGACATAAAACTCCATTTAATTTTAATAGGGCAGATTGTGAAAGTCTCTCAGTTTCATATAAACTTTCAGAGGTCAGCCTCCCAAACATGGTCTGCAAATTGCAAATGAGAGAATGAAGCTAAAAATTTTCTGTTTCCTTGACTCCTAGATCCATTCTTTCCACGTATTTTAGGTTTCTAGATCTGATTGCATCACAGAATCTATAAGCACATTTTATGTGGAGGTATTTTTTTCTCCAGAACATTTTAATAAAATCAGCATAATGTCTTATAAAGAATGATACCTTATTTTTTATGGTTAATTAATTGTATTAGCTTTATTGAGATATAATTGACATATAGCATCATGCAGTTTTAAGGCACACAACATAATGATTTGATGTATATACATATATACTTAGTGAATGATTCCTGCAGTGAGGTTAGTTAACATATCCATCACCTCGTAGTTACCTTTTTTTAAATGTTTTTCCAGAGCCTCCCAAATACTTTTTATTTATTTTATTTATTTTTTAAAAAATTTATTGAAGTATAGTCAGATACAGTGTGTCAGTTTTTGGTGTACAGCATAATGTTTCAGTCATACATATACATATATTTGTTTTCATGATTTTTTTCATATATATAGGTTATTACAAGACATTGAATATAGTTCCCTGTGCTATACAGAAGAAATTTGGTTTTTATCTATTTTATATATAGTAGTTAGTATTTGCACATTCCCAATTTATCCCTTCCCACCCCCCTTCCCTTCTGGTAACTGTAAGTTTGTTTACTATGTCTGTGAGTCTGTTTCTGTTTTGTGGGTAAGTTCATTTGTTTCTCCTTTTCCCTTTTCTATTTCAACATTTATTTGTTTTATTAAAAAAATTTATGGTAAGAACTTTAAAATTTTTCTCTGTCTGGATCCTGTGTTAACCTCAGCATTATTCACAATAATCAACATGTGGAAACTATCTAAGTGTCCATTGATGGGTGAGTGGAGAAAGAAAATATGATACACACACACACAGGTGTGTGTGTGTATATACTATATACATAATATATATGATATAAAAATGTATCTATAATAGAAAAAGGTTATCCTGCCATTTGTGACAATAATGAGGAAGCTTGAGGACATTATACAAAGGGAAATAAGTCAGACCCAGAGAGACAGATACTGTGTGATCTCACTTATATGTGGATTCTAAAAAACCCAAACTCACAGTAGAGAATAGAGTGGTGGTTACCAGGGCCTAGGTGTTGCGGGAAATGGGGAGGTGTTGATCAAAGTGTACAAACTTCCAGTTACAAGATGAATACGTTCTGAGGATCTAATAATGCACAGCATGGCTAACTATAGTTAACAACACCATACTGTGTACTTGAAAGTTGCTAAGAGAGTAAATCTTAAAAATTCTCACCACACATACACACATAAGATAATTGTTACTTCAGACAGTGAAAATAAAGTAGGAAGAAATGTCTTCCTTAGTAGTTTCAGGAAGAGTCCAGTGACTCTCACTGGCTGCTTTGTGGCCTGTGCTCCTCCCTGAGCCAGACGCTCTGACTGGGGCGGGTGGGGCTGGACTGGCCAGGTCCTAGACATGTGACCACCGGTGGAGGGACGGCCCCATCCGGGCCTCCAGCCTGAGGTGGGGGAGGGGCAGCTCCCTTAGGGGACTGTGAGACGCTGAAGCTGCAAGAAGGTAGAAGCAATGAGGGGTCAGATGAAACAGATGTTTATTAAGTGCTTTGTCCCCTTGGTTCTGGGCCATAAAGTCTCTGCAACAATTCAGAAAATGCTCCTTTTCCCAAATCTGCATTGCGATTTTTGTCACTTGAGCCAAATTTTCACAAAATCCTTCGCGAAAAACTGCACTTTCAACTTTTATTTCAGCCTTCCTCTTCCGCATAACTCAGAACAGTTCCATGGAACTCATCTGGAAAACTCACAACATTTTGACCCCTCCATTTACCCCGTTTGCACAAGACGCTTTTATGCCAAACTGCTTTGTCATTGTCGTCTATTCCCCATCGCATAAATCGACTCTGGCGAAAGCACCCTGGCACATTGTGCGTTAGACATCACCTGTCGTGGATTCAGTCGTGTCCTCCAGAATGATATGTTCAGTACTAACCCCCATACATGTGAACATGAATATGCCCTTATTTGGAAATAGGGTCATTGCAGATGTAAGTAAGTTGAGATGAGGTCATATTGGACTAGGGTAGACCCTATTCTAGTGACGAATGTCCTTATACAAAGAAGAAAATTTGGACACAGAGATACACACAGAGGAGAGTACCATGTGAAGATGCAAGGAGAAGGGAGGAGAAGGCCATGTGAAGACAGGAGGTGGACATTAGAGTGATGCCTCTATGGGCCAGGGAATGCCAGAGACTGCCAGTAACTGCCGGCAGCTAAGAGAGCGGCATGAAAGCAGTCAGAATGTTCAGAGGGAGCCTGGCTGTCCTCACACCTCGCTTTGGGGCTTCTAATCTTCAGAATTGTGAGACAAATTTCTGTTGTTTTACATCACCCAGTTTGTGGTACTTTGTTTTGGAAGCCCTAGGAAAATAATATCCTGCCCAGCTTTGTGCCAGCATTGAGGCTTAGCAAGGATACAATGCTTCATAAAATGTCAAAACTGAAGTGCAGAGAAGTAAAGAAATGTATCCTCAAGCCCATAGTGATTTAATCGTGGCCAAGCCAGCGCTGAGAACCTGGGTGCCTGTCTTCTCAGTCTGCTGTGCTTCAAACACTGGCTTCCTTAATGATTTCCTCCACGAGCCTAAAGAAGTTTGGAGCAAGGTAC